ACCTTTACAACTATACGTATGTACTGCACATGGCTTTTCGGGCACCATATATAAGCCCCCTGAGAGTCCACAATAGATTCTGACTTATTTTCATTAGCTCACACTAGACCGGCAATTTAGTCACCTCAACGATCATAAGTCTCACCGCCACAAAATTTAATCCTCGCGTTCTGTCGGGCTTCGCCTTATCTAGTATTCCGAACATTTGCATTTTCACGATCTTCTGTGGCTTCTTCTTGCTGGCCGCTCTACGCTTTGGGATATTGCTGTTGTTGCGGAGAACTTTGTTTTCTAAGCGCTGCACTTTCGAAACGTATTTGCCGCAAATCCCAAGGCAAGCATACTACATTGCAGACATAAATAATGCGCTGTGGATGGTACATTTCATCTTAGAGCTTAATCGCTCAATTTTCAGTGAAGGACATGCTCTAATAAATGTTGTGAAGGCATTGGCTTCGATCAATTCTGTATCTATTCCTCTTACCGAAAAATATACAGATGTTGTACATGACTCACGAAGCAAGAAACCCATTGTTCCTACCAGTAATTGAAGGCGCCCTATCTGTAGTTATAGCAACACGTTTAGAAAGCGGTAAGTTACATTCTTTCACAACTTTAAGGAACACATTAAATATGTCTTCTCCCCTAGTACGTTCAAGAAGTGGCAGCAGTTTAACGAACTCTTCCTTTACCGTAAAATCGCCAAAAACCATTCTAACAAATACACATAATTGTGCAACATCTGATATATCAGTGTTTTCATCAAGCTGGAGTGAAAAATATTCACACAATTGCAAATCCTGATGTAATTGAGATTCCAGATTATCAGAAATCTGTTCAACTCGTCTAGCAACAGTTTGGTGAGACAACTGAAGTCCTTTGATTGAAGACATAAGTGCAGATTTATCTTTGTGATCATCAAACAGAGACTCGCCGGCACTGATCATAGCTTCTTTAATTATTTCCTCATCACTGAAAGGTTTTTTTCCTTTTAGCTAGCACATGACAGATTTTATAAGAAGCTATTGTTACGTTACTACTTTGCTGGATAGGCTTTGTAAATACACGTTTTTGCAAGGTTAATTTAGATTTTAGGTCTTTCACCTTTTGTTTTCTTAGTTCAGATTGCACAGGAAATTCATTGTTGAAATTATTGTGGTTAGTCAAAAAATGTCGCTCTACACTACTTTTTTAGGAACAGACGCTACTATTACACAATAAACATACAGGTTTTCCTCTGTATTCAATAAAACAATACTGCTCCTCCCATTCACTGTTAAAACTATAACTTCTTTGTCTTTTAGCCATATCAAGAATAGCTATATAAAATAGTACAGCTTATTTGCTCAATAATTTGAAGCACAATAACTAAAATACACTGACAACTGTGTAACAACTTGAATGTACTACTTGTCACAACACAAGACATAACAACTGAACTATGGTCGTCACAAACTCGCAAGTAATACTGATTGTTTGGCTGAAGAAAGCGAACTTGGAAATATAGGTACTACCAATTTCCATTAGTGTACGACCCTCTTAATAACTTCTTATTGTTTGCGGCATTGCTTTGTTGGGATTAAAGTAACTTTGATTCATATTGCTGACGAGTTTAGAAATTGGGGAAATTACGGTAAGCTGGGCCCCATAGTCATGTTCGTGTCAGTGAATATGTTTGCCCTGCTGATCACAGAAAATTTTATGGTACCCTGACCATAAATCCGAAATCCATGAAAGCCGATTCAGTGGGGACTTGCGGCTGTTTGGGGGGGGTAAAAATACTGCTAGGGAAAATTACCTGATCTTGAGAGGACGACAGTTTCTCTAGTGAAAAAAGGATTAAGACTGGTGTTGTTAGCAAAGGAGAAAAGAAATAGGCATACATTTTCAAGGACTGTTTAATACTGTACCATGCTTCAAGGAGATTTTGTGAAAATATTTAACAGTACTCAGATGTTCAAAAATGTCTCTTCTTACAATTTGAATTAATATTAAAAATCGGGTCAATTATATGTGCTTACGGAGGGCACCAGAAAAATATATCACGGGCGCCGCATTGGACAGGGCTGGTTTAGACCTTCTTCTTTTAGAAAGGTTGTCAACTTCTTGTTCACTGCGATGGTGCTTGTCTTAGGGCATATAATGCTTTTTTCAGGAGACGTATCTTGCCATTGTTCTTGCATCCTTCTGGTATCTCCATTTAGTTTTCCTCCTTAAGGTCTCCATACAGGAAGGCAGTCTTCACATCAAAGTTTTGCATGTTCATATTCTTACGTGCTGCTATGGCAAACAGTACTCTAAGAGAATTCATGTCAACAACTGGGCTAAAGGTATCCTTGAAATCTATTTCCCCTTCCTTTTGTTGACATCCTCTCACAACCAGTCTGGCTTTGTGTCTTCCATCATCCTTTGTTTTGAAAACCCATTTAGTGGTCAGAATTTTCTTTCCCATTGCTTTCTCTCTGTTTACATATATCCAAATTTTGTTTTGGTAGAGCAAATCCTTTTCCTCTTTAATGGCTTTCTTCTACTTTTCGCTGTCTTCGCTCTCCATGCACTCGTCATATGTATAGGTGAGCATACTCTCCTTTTGACTTCCTGTGTGACAGTCTCGGTACTTTGGGTGCATTTGAATGTTTCTTCTTGGTCTCAATGCCTATCCATGTTCATTTTGTCCATTGTTTTTCCTTCCATTATCCTTGCGGTCAGCATTTTCATTTTCTTCATCCTCTTCATTATCTGTTGGTTCTTCTTCATTGTTGTCAGCTTCAGGTTCTTACTGCCCTAACGCCACTTGTATCCCTTTCTGCTAAAAAAAAAAGCCCTGCCATGTACAGCATAATTACCGGTTGTTGCGAACATTGTGAAGTACATATGTTCACATACAAAAATCACTCTCTTCCTCCCTCAAACATAAACAAATGTGTTAAACTGGGGTATTTCAAACACTGTTAAACTGTTTCAGAATACTAGAAGTGTTTATTAAAATTACAGAAAAATACCAGTAATTAACATCAGTATCAAGGTAGATGATTTGGTATGAATGAATGGAGAATATGGGCGGGCCTTGACTAGTCCTTGCACCATGACTCACGAATTGTCTATTGACCATCCTCCTCTGCTTCAAACCCTCAATAATCCTATGCTTTGTGCAGTATCTTACTTAAAACGGTGCCTAGGTGAATGAATGTACAGGTCACTGAGTGGTATGCCAAGATGGCTGTAAACAGTGATGAAGTAGGTGACAGTGGTAGGATTGAAATGGCTGATAAAATAGCAATATGCAGTCTTGCATTTATGACTGCTGAAGTAGATGGTACAATTTTACTGGTATATCTGCAGGTCATGACCTCTAAAAATTTCCTATCTTTATCTGTTTCCCAGCCTCTGACATCTCACATGACTAGATGCATAGGAGTTGCAGGGCTGTACCAAATTTCCCATCCCAGCCACGCTTCATTAGCCAGTCAGCAACTTACATTAAAGCAAGCAGCATGAATTTTAACTGATCTAAACTGCCTGACTACATTAACATGAAATTACATTTTTTTAAAACTTGCATGCAGGTATTCACCTCTAATATATAAATCACAAAACAATTGTGAATGTATGAAAATAATATATTTCATTTATTACTGCAACATGCTGAATGATAGCAGTATTCCTTTTGTAAGAAAAATTAACAGAAATACATACTGCATATCCGTTATTATAAACTTAATCCTGACGTAAGGTTTTCATAATCCTCTTCTGAACATGATGCCCATCTACATGTATATTTCCTAATTATATTCTGATGATGACAATTATGAGTTATGGATAATGAAACTGAGTACCTAGATACTTGACTGTAACTTGGGAATGGCCTATGTATTATGAGCAGAACTAAACAAGTAACTGTGAGCTGAGCACGCAGTAATATACTTTTAGAGCTGTGTTGTGACAACTTCTCTAGCACTACTGTAAGTCATGTAGTCTGGCTGCAGTCATTACTCACTAAAGCTTCTACAGGAATATACAGAATGAAATCAATATGTCAACAGCAAATGCTACAATTGCTAAATTATCAAAAGTTGTGTATGGGCAGTGTGAGGTACTAATAAAGTTGACCCTGGGCTAAGCACCACACCATACATGCTAGTATGAGTGTAAAGATCAATCTTGAAACAGTCTAAGACTCTATAATAGAAAAAAAAAAAAAAGAATGATCAACTTTAAATTCCTTCTGCTTTACGCTGGTACCAAATGGATAGGGGGCTGGATGGGCCCTAAACTTTGTCAGAATTCACACTGAAAACATTCTTAACCTATCAGAATCTGAACTTTGCTCACTCTACTAACTCAGCTATCCTGTCGTTCTCTGACTTGCACTGAGGTTTGCTTGCAGATATAAGATTCTGAAATAGTCTTGGAAGTTGTTCAAATTTTGGTCACTGCCAAAATGTTGTTAGTTCCATTTCAGTTTCATTGTGCACAGAGTAAAGAAGGAACTTAGACAGTTCAGTCAACACAGTGACTAGACTACAGTCTGGATGGCTAGGAAACTGGAATTCAGTTCTCAACAGAAGCATCCCAACAGCCAAGCTGGCTCTGGGGCCCTTCCAGCTGGTGTACTTCCACCTTTACAGAGTGTTGAGTTTAAGAATCTGGGGAGATATGTTATATTTTAGCATCCTGTTACACTGATTCATGTCCATGGTTTATGCTAACCATCTGCTAACTGCTGGATATGTGTANCACGCGCAACAGGTCGTTTCCGGTTATTTTTGGGTCCCCCTTCGTATGTAGGAAGAATGCTCACATAAAAGAGAATTGGCATAATTCGCGTGTTTGAGTGCGATGTAGGATGAATCCTGAAAAGTTTTATTATTTAGAATTCATCGACATATATGACGAATACAGATTTCAGTCATTTTAGAATGAAGACATCATGGCATGCAGTACAATAGTCTAACGTACATAAAGACACCTGAGGATGGCACATTAGTGCTGAAACATGTAGTGTGGAAGTGAAGAATAAGGTGAAAAAGTGTATACACTGTAAGATGGTTAGCATAAACCATGGACTGGGGAGATATATTTATACCTCTCCATATATTTTCATGGCATGGCACTCAATTAAGAAGACAGATAACTTTACATTTATCTAACAGACTAAGATATATATGTTGGATTTCAGGTCCTCAGAGCAGTGTCTGTGAAGAGTACTATCTTCTGGGATGTAACATCATATAAACTGTAGTGGTTCTGTTGTTTCTGAGGAATATACTGGCTCCATCCTCAGGATCAAAGAATAAGCCAATCATGAAATCAGCTAGAAGGTGGTGGTTTGCTAGCTCCTTGTTTGGTTTACTCTCACTCTGATGATGGAGAAAATGTGTTCCTCTGAAGTGTTAGTACACTTCTACCACTTCACAGCATTACATCCCAGAAGAAGGAGATTTCAGAGCTACAGTATTTTAGGATTACAGCAGAATGTCACAATGCACAGCAACAACAGTATCTATAAATACAGGTACCTGAACATAGATTTTATAATTTTCAATCAAGAATTTATAAATAATATAATTACATATGATATGCCAATCATTCCCAATAGAAATTGAAGTGTCATGCTGTCGCCTTGTCTCAGTATATCAGAAAAAAGAAAAGGCCAGGGCATGAAAATATTTGTAAGATGTGAGAAATTCATAAAATTTTAGACAAAACCCCAGAAGATAAGAGGTGCTTGGAGGACCTAAGCTTGTATGGGAATAGAAAACCTATTATTAAATTGGATCTAAAATAAATGGGTTTTGAGGGTGTGGGCTAGTTAACATGTTTCAGGATAGAGAGCAATGGTGAGACACTTGTGAACATACTAAGAACCTCTGAGTTTCATAAAAGGTGGGCAATTGCTTTACTATCTGAGCAACTATTAGCTTCTCAAAAATAACTCTGCTCCATTGAGTTCGTGAAGTTATTGTTATGACTTTGGGGGAACACATATTATTACTGTAACAATTCTGTGGCATATGTGATATCCATTTCTACACTTTAATTCTTGCATGTTGCTGATAAGAATGATAATGACAGCTTTTCCAGGAGGGAGAGTTCTGCCAATATTGTGCTCTGTGAAAAATTAACTTTTAATGTCCAGTAATTACTAATTGTTTGAGGAACAATTTTTCAGTCATGAATCTTGATTATAGTACGAGCCTTTTCGGACTGGGACTTGATGAAAGTATCTTGCTACAGCCCTGCTTCCTTCTCTTGACAATGCGCTGATGTACCCTCTTCATCTCAAGAATCTCCTTCATTTCTTCCTTGTCTTCCTCCTGCAATAAATCACAATGATGATAACTCACCACCTCATCACTGTAGAACTTCACTGTTGTTTAATAATTCTTATTAGTAGTTACTAACACCGGTAATACTCCTGGTAATTTGAAGCTTTAATATGAATTTGGTGGCACTCACCGACTGATTGAGTCTCAGCACAAGGGCTCGGCGCCCATCAGACATTGGCTGGGAGTAATCCATGAGCTTCTTGAGCCTCTGTGCTGGACTGACACCTCGTTCTACAACCAGCACAATGCGGGCCCACTGTAACAAACAACTGCCTTACAATTGTGCTTGGTTGCGTGGAAGCATGTTGACATGTTCTTGACATCAATAACAGACGGGGCTGAGTGTTCAGCTGTAACCTTCACTTAGAACAAATATTATGTTTTCAGACATTATCCATCATCTTGTCTTTATCTAAAACCGTCCTGTTTATTTTTCAAAACATGTTTTGGAGACTGGAGTCTGTCTTCATCTTCAGGTAAAACCTAGGTTTTTAGATAAAGACAATGGATAATGTCCAGAAACATAATATTTGTACTAATGTACCATCATCGCAAAGTTTTAGATCTTACAGTAAACTTCATCTTCTTTTACTCCTCCTGTTCTGATTAGCTAGACAGGGTATGAATTGAACTGCAGTCTTGCAGTAATTAGCAGTCACTACTAACTGGGCAGCCCTTCTTCATTTTTGTTTCAATGTAGTAACAAATATTTCAGCCTAAAAATATAGGTATAATTCTATGCACTGGGACAGACAATGGCTGCACATTTTGCTGACAGCACTTGTTCTATTACACTGTGATTTGCAGGCCAAAATACAAGTTACCTGTCTCTGCCACTCATTGCGGGTTTCAGCAATCTTCTGATATGTGTTGCCCATCATAGCTATCAACATGTTCACCAGCAAGATGGCCACAATGCCCATGTAAACCACAAAAAGGAGCTGAAACACAGGATATGATGGAACGTTAAGAAAGTTATACAGAGGCATCTTGGGCAATGGTCGGTAAGAACGTGATCATATCCCAGAAGACAGTAATCTTAGTAGTCAACACCGTGAAAGTCACAGATCTGAAGCACATATCTTGTTTGCCTTTGTAATTTATGTGGCAGGTATGTGGGGGACATACAAAATATCAACGAAATATAAACCTGATAACCTGAAAGAAACATAACTTTTGGAGGACTTGGCTTTCTGAAAGTTTACTCTTACTAATCTGAACTTCTGTTACATTACTTTAACTCTGTAGACAGTAGCAGAAACTACGTGTGTGTGCACCACGTCCTTTAACATTAAATAGCACTAAATTTAACCCTCAATATACTTATATTGTTATGTGACTGAGTGACTATAGATGGGGTTTGGATTGGTAATCAGATTTACTAAACTCTTATACAACTCGTAACTACACTTTATAAATCACTATCACATTAGTCTTCTCAGTCACAGTCTCATTGCTCTGCTTCACAGTAGCTTCCCAACAGTGTAGCATCCTAGGCTACCATATCCAGTGGTTCCTGTCCTTGCTGCAGTTGAACTAACTGGCTTCCAAATGCCAGACTAACTCACAAGTCAAAGTCAAAGTCAAAGTCAAAGTTATGTTAGGTCTATGGTCAGCTGGCCAGTCTGTCTCGGTGTCAAGCACCCATCTGGGACCCAAGACCAGATTTGTATTACTGTCAGACAGTTGTGGGTTTGTTGATGTTGGGCACCCTCTCTGACAAGAAGAAGGGTCTGTCATTTACAGCTGCTGTTGGCCCTTGCTAGCGCAGTCCCACACAACTCATGACCATTCTCTTTTTTTCACCTCCTACGACTCTCAGGGCTATGGTAGAAGTATTTGGACCTGCCTCCATGAGGGGTTGCCCCTAACTCACAAAGTCAAAGTCAAAGTTACGTTACGATTGACAGTCAGTTGGCCAGCCTGTCTTGAAATAAAGCACCTACCTATCACCACAGACTGCTTAGAGAACACTGCTTTCCAGTATGTCACAGTATGTTTCATTTGATTCTTAAAACACAGACAGCATAGAGATAATATAATACTTTCATTTTTTCAAAATACGAAAATTAGGTAAAGTTGTCCCTGTGCTTAACTAATTAAGCACTACTCCATGAAGGCATATGGGGGGAGTGGATGTATAGATCCATATTTTCTTGACCTTGGCACTAGTTGGAGGTCAGAGTTCAGCTTCACACCCCGGCCACTTTACCCCCAGTGAAGGAGTCCACGGCACCCATTGGATAAGAGGTTGGGGGGGACCTCTGAGCCGGTCTGAACGACATGGAGAAGTGAAAATTCTTGACCCTTTTCGGGACTCGAACTCCAACCCCTTGGTTGTCCAGCCCATAGCCAGTCGCTATAACGACTCTGCTTTAGGCTGACAGGAAACAATGATTGTTTTCCTGAACATTACTGATAAACAATCATTGTAAAGCAGATGCTTCCCCTTCGAATTTGCATTTATCCAACTGCTCAACTTAATCATCTTGTCAATGATGCTATGTACTCTTGATACTGACAGCCTCATTAAATAACCACCTTGAAATGGACATAAATGCAAGAATATTTTTAGAAAAGCTTCCTCTCTGAGGTGTTAAATGAGAATAAATAACATGCAAGCTTCACTGTAGATTCAGTAAAATCTTATGGCTAATTGAACATAAGCATCTGAACTAACCTTCGCTTCAAATTCATGTTCTGTCCGCTCAAATGCACCATAGTAGTCACCAAAGTTTGTCATTGACATGAGAAACATGGCCAGCACAGATTCTGTTGGACTGGACATAGGGTTGGACACCGAATCATCCACTCCCTCTGGCGTGTTTGGGTTGTCAAATGACAGGAAGATAATGTAGTATGCTTTGCAAATTGAAACATAGATAAAAATAATTTTAAATGTTTTGATTTCTTCAGCTTCACTGTTGCTTTAATTTTTGACACTCAAATGCAAATGTTGTTTAGAACTTAGGATATACATGGCCCAAGAGTTCATTTACATTTACATCTTGTCACCATTTCCAACTCCATAAGGTATTTAGAAACAACTAACCCCCATATCTTGAATGTGATGTTTATTTTTCAACAGATAAAAATTTATTACACAGCCTTCAGCAAACATCATGTTAAAATTAGATAACACAAATTTATTAGAAATAAAGTTTCTTCAAATATACGTACATAAAATATGACTTTCCCGTTTATTCTGTTTCTCAACTCAGACTTCATAGAAAATACCCAAAGGTACTGTACATTTTATTATTACAAATAATTCAAACACAAATTACAATTACTTTTAATAATTACAAATAATTCTACTGCTTAGGCCTGGATCACACTATGAAAACTGGCAACCTAAATGCAAAAGCGATTTCTGCTCTTTTCATAGATTTTGTCCTTCTTAATGCCACGTACGCCAACATCTTCAGATTCAGAACTTAAATCAAATAACAGGTTTTCTGCCATATTTCACTGGTCATAACTGCGTGCTTCGCACTGCGCTCCTATCTCACTGCGCCCTGCCTGCGCCTCAACATGCGCCCGGCCGTAACGTATCGAGCAGTGCAAATTGAGAAAATGGCAACGAAACTCAATTTCCAGGCAACAGAGCATGCCAGTCTTCTAATGAGTGAGTTGCCACGTGGATTCCTTGAAATTAGCTGTTCTGTAATGCGTTTCAATAAACCTTTCAACATTCGGGAAAGGCAATACCGATGCTTATGACCAGTCATAAAAATTGCCTGCAAGCCGATTACAACAATGGGCGACATATCCTCTGTTATCAGAACTGAGCGAAATAACGTCTGTGTTGCAAATGTCAGTGACCAATCAGCAAGGAAGTATAAAGAAAATGTTTCCACTGAAATTGAAGATCAAGGCAGTCTGTATCCAGTTCTCAAATGTAGTAATATTGAATACTGTTTCTTCGCAAGTTCGCATTGCATTGTGTAAGTGCTTGTTTCGAAACCTGAGTGATTTAAATTTTAATATGAATAAGAGAGGGGGACTTGGTTTAATTTTGGTGTTAAGAAATCTCGTATTGAAGGTGTTTGTGACGCAACTGTTATTTTCTGTTTCCCGTAGATCAAATGATAAGTAAGAATCAGTGTTCACTCTACTCCTGCTTTATTAAGACACTGATTCTTGCTTATCATTCGATCTACGGGAAACAGAAAATAACAGGTTATGGGCCCATGATCGTATCATTGATAAGTGTAAAAAGTATAGAAGTGAGAAGTGTTATTTAAAAGTGATCCTTTGGACTGACGCCGCTATCAAGACAAAGAAACAAGTTTCATCATGGCCACTTCGAAGCCCTTCGCGAATATTGATAGGCTCAAAGGACACGAAAATTATAGAGAATGGTGCTTCGATATTCAAAATATTCTAGTGATTGAAACTGTGTGGTCAGCAGTCGAAGGATATCCTGCAGAAGACACAACGCCTGTATCCATCAAGAAACAAAAGGATGAGAAAGCAAGAGCCATCATTTGTCTGACATTGGAGCCCCAAGTTAAATCTTACATCGTCCAGACAATAACAGCAAAGGAAGCCTGGGACGCGTTGGAAAGAACATTCAAAGATCAGGGAGTCAATAGTTGGATAAGTATTTTAACTGATTTGTGCTCTTTGAAACTTGAGGACTATAAAAGCATGCAGGAATATGTTAATGCCTTCATGTCAATAAATCTCAGACTAGTCTCAATGGACAAAAAAATAGATGATGAGCTATTAGCAGCATTAATGTTAAAGCATATGGCGCTTGAAAACTCCAATGTAACTCTGACTAGTGAGCTCGTTAAATCTAAGCTATTGCAAGACACTGAATTTGGTAAAAATGCAAATTCAGATTCAGCCTTTTTGTCCAAAGATAAGATTAAACGTAAACCAGCAAAATGTCAAATTTGTGGTAAGCTAGGCCATATAAATAAAAACTGTTGGTTCAAAGATAAGGATAAGGCAAACAATAAGAATCATAACAATCAGCATAGACAAAAATTTAAGAGCAATCAGTCTTCTAAATCAGTTAATAGTACTGATGAAAATAAAGAAGGGTCCGATCATAGGTGTAATGAAAATAAACGGAAAAATAAGACCAGTGAAAGATCCATGTATATGGTATCTGCCCATTACGTTAAAGTTAAGGATGATACTTGGGTAATAGACTCTGGTGCTTCACACCATATGACCGGAAATAAGACTATTTTGCAAAATTATAAAACGCATGATTCTAAAGAACATGAAATAACCCTTGCTGATGATAACATGTTAACCAGTGCATGTTTTGGTGATGTAAAACTTATGAATGACAATTATAGCCGTATCTCAGAAGTATTGCATGTACCGGGATTGTCTACAAATTTGTTGTCTGTAAACTCAGTTGTAAATAAGGGTACAATTGTGTTATTCACCAAAGACTGTTGCAACTTATATGATTCTGATGATTTTGAGGGAAGAGGCAAAGTTCTTGCCAAAGCATATCCCGAAAATGGGATTTATTGTTTAAATACCACAGCTAACATGACCCACTCTGCAAATATAGCAACTAAAGATAAGATTAATACCAAAGAGAAAAATGACAAATGTGAAAAATCTTGTATTAATACTGTAAAGAATGAACAAGTTGCAAGTACCCAGCAAGTTGATGAACAACTGTTGTGGCATAGGCGTTTGGGACATTTAAATAGGGTTAGCATGCGGTTGCTAAAAAGGGTTTAGGTAGTGGCATCGATTTTCAAGAACAAGAAGATCAGTCAAAGAAATGTGTTTCATGTCTGGAAGGCAAAATGACAAAGAAGCCCTCACCCTCGCCCTCGCCCTCACGAGAGGTTATACCCACCCTCTGCTGGTACCATCACCGCTACAGGGCCCGGGCACAAAAGTGTACGCAGCCTTGCTCCTACCGCCAGCAGGAAAACTAACACGGCGGACACCAACGGCGGCACATGTGTGCACCCCAAACAACGGCCGCCTTTTCGTCACTCACAGGATCAGTAAACGGCGATTTCTAGTAGACACAGGTTCAGACCTATGCATGTATCACCGCGGGCTCATCCCACGGCACAGGGATCGTGTCAACTACGACCTCTGCGCGGCTAACGGCACCACAATCCACACCTACGGAAGGTTGCCTCTTAGCCTCAACCTGGGACTACGTCGGGATTTCACGTGGCGATTCATAGTGGCTGACGTTACTCAGCCACTCATCGGAGCCGACTTCCTCTCTCATTTCGGCCTCCTGGTGGACTGCCAAAACAACCGCCTACTGGACGGTGTCACGTCGTTGTCTTCCCCGGCGCAACCAGCCAACTCACTGATCCCCAGCGTCAAGACCATCAGTAGCGGCACACCAGTCGACAGCCTACTCGTCAAATTCCCGGACCTCACCGCCCAGACGGAACCCAGCGCGGAGTGCGCCACAACACTGTGCATCACATCCGGACTATACCTGACCCGCCAGTCACCTGCCGACCCCGGCGACTGGCACCGGACCGACTCGCTATCGCCAAAGCCGAGTTCGACGCCATGTTACGGGATGGCACAGCTCGCCGCTCAGAGAGTTCCTGGTCTTCTGCACTACACATTGTACCCAAGAAGGACAACGGTTGGGGTCCCTGTGTCGACTACAGAGCTTTAAACGCCCGGACCATCCCCGACCGCTACCCTGTCCGGCATATCCATGACTACTCCCACCAGCTTTTCGGTTGTTTCGTCTTCTCCAAGATCGACCTGGTGAGAGCCTACAACCAAATTCCCGTCCATCCCGACGATATACAGAAGACGGTCATCACCACTCCATTCGGCCTATTCGAGTTCCCCTTCATGTCCTTCGGCATGCGCAACGCCGCACAGACCTTCCAACGCTTCATGGACGACATTCTGCGGGGACTCGACTTCTGTTTCGCTTACCTGGATGATATCCTCATCTTCTCCTGGTCTCTAGAGCAACACAAGCAACGCCTACGGGCACTCTTCGACCGACTGCAGAAGTATGGGATCCTCATCAACCCCTCAATCAGTTTACGGACTGAAACAAGCCGCTAGGTCGTGGAATAAGAAAGCAACAGAAGTTCTAAAAGGCCTAGGCTACAGGAAAACTTGTTCCGAACCATATATTTATACCAAACAAAACGGTAATTCTATAATTAATATAGCATTGTATGTTGACGACTTCTTCATATTTCACAATGACAATGTTGAAGTTGAGAATTTAAAAGGAAAATTGCAACAGTGTTTTAAAGTCAAGGATTTGGGACAAGTTAAGAAATGTTTAGAAATTGAAGTGAAAAGAGATAGGACAAAGAAAACTATAAAGTTGACCCAAACTCAATCTATATAAATAAAAATGTAAATGTTCGTTTGAGTCTTACCTAAGATCTCCGAAACTTCTTCACCGATCGCTTCGAAATTTTGACACAACGTTGCATTCGAACACGCGCGTGTTTCTGTGTGCCTATTATGTAGATGTCACACCCGTGACAGGTAAAAACATGTAAAAACCTGCCACATGTTCCGAATCCAGCAGTCGTTTCAATTGTAACGCTAGAACAGTTAGCGTATACTTCCATGGAAACGCAATAACAGTTTGCCGTTGCTAGCATTTCCTAAGCAACGGATGAAACTAACTCTTCGATAAGGTATTCCCTATCCCGTCCGAGCGCTGGCTATATGTATAAGAGAGTTTAGCTCCGGCGACTGTTCAGTATCACGAGTGTCTCGAGTATCACGAGGTCACAAGTATCACAAGAGATTCCGAGTGAAATCACAGCATCCGCCGAGGTATAAATAGCCCACCTTGGACAAGAAGCAGTCAGTCTCGGGGCAGATGCCAAGGGATACGGAAGAGAGCCTGGAGATAAGCG